AAATTTAGTCTAAACAACTACACGCCACGTCTCGTCTAAATTCCGCATTATCAAATAATATTAAAAAAATAAAAGAGCAAAAAGTCTTTAATTATCTTTAGTCTCAACCTTCTTGGGCTTCTTTTCATCATCTTTAGATTTTAACGGCTTAAGTAAAGCACGTTTAGATTCGTTTTCAATTTCTTCAACGTGAATATCATCAACATCAACTTCTTCGGCGCGTTTACGAGACAACTTTCTAACCCAGTCTGGAATAGTACTCTGATCAACAGTCCTTTTATTATATTTCTTCGCAAACTTTTTATTCCATGTATTAAATGAATTAAGTCCTATATTATTTTCATCCAAATATCTAGATATTCTTTCGCATCTTCTAATACTTTCAAGTTTTTGTCTTATTAAATCTCGTCTATCTTCATCACTTTTAACTTTATCGGGGTTATTAATCTTCCAGTCAATATATGACGGCTCCTTCATGGTGTAATAGAACTTCTTAAGGAAAGAGTTGACGTTCGGCTCAGACTGTGCCTCAGTGTAAACATCTAATATATCCATGGCGGCGACATCCATGTAAATATCATCTCGTGGTCTGTTCATGTTTGACATTGAATTCGATATATATTTGTAAGTTTTCAATCGTTAAATAGTTCAACTCCATTCACTGATGTCATTACCACGTAAGAAAAACCTCACCAAACCGTAAAAATAGATCAAATCGAACTGTCAAAAATACATTAATGTCAAAAGAAGAATTCCACTCAGAACCCAACAAAATGGATATAATTCACTTAAAAGATGCTCTAGCACACAACAAGGCTCTTCATTTCACGTCCAAATTCATGTATTTAACACTCTGGGGCGATGAAATTTCCAATCAAATACAGTTTAAAGAAGTGGTGGATCGTCTAGCCGGTGCAACAAATAACGTTCAGTATGCTCATATTTCACCCACTGAAATAGACGAAGTAAATCCAAAACCACACCAGCATCTACTAATAGTCACTAAGAGACCACGCTCATTTAACGCGAGACCGATAATTAATCACTCAGACGGAACGAAGCAGACTTTCTGGTACTCGCGAGTAAATTCTTACACTTCACGCACTGGTGATATCTCAGCGATTATACGTTATATTACAAAGAAAGGTGCCGGGATGTGTAAGGGGGATCCATCCACAAAAGAGGACTTGAAACAGACGTGGATCAGCGCTTTAACGGATCTCGATTCTTACCAGGATTACAGCGAATTAGAAAAAACCCTTCTAGATATTAACGCTGAAAAATATATTCAGCAAGAAGGTAAAATAAAAGCGCGTTGGTTGCGTAAAAACGCTAGACGTCTAGATATTGAACACTATACGCGAACAGATTTATTCCCCTGGAGGGAGGATTTGCAAGAAGTGCAGACCATTCGAAAATGGCTGAAATGTGCACAGGGGGATCGCTATAGGATGGGCAATTTATTCATCGTCGGTCCCACGAAGACGGGGAAAACCGAGTTCGCCATCCAAGAAATATTTCTAAAATACAACACGTTTATGTTACGCGGAGACTCACTCTTCGATGCTTATGACGATGAGCAAAATTATAGATTTATCCTGTTCGACGACATCAATTACGACAAAAACTTAATAAGACTAATTAAAGCCTTAACTTCTTCTATTAACAAAAAGACAATGGTCAATATAAAATATTCCAAAGCCATTGTCACAGCACGTCCCTGCGTTCACCTTCTTAATCAGAAAGAATATGAAGGCGTTGTCAGTCTCATGAAATATAATGGAGGATATAGTTGGTGGAAAAGAAATTCACTTACCATATTTTTAGATGAAAAACTTTACAAGGACCCCAATGAAACTAATAATTCCACAGAAGACATGGAAAAGCAAGAAAGGAGTTTTGATGCTCTCAACGATTTGGAAGAAAAATTCCAAAAGTTAAAAGAAAATCCAGAAGAAGAGGGTGAAATTATTCGCCCAACAGAGCATTTGTCTTTCCTCGGTAGAGTAAATAATTTAATGGAAAGCCTCGGCTACGATGATGACTTTTTAGAAGAACTAAACACTAAAATGAAAGAAGCTAAGAAAAATCCCGAAATGAAAAGAACTTTAGAAGAATCACAAGAGGACAATTCTAGTATGGTAGAAGAGTGGAATGAGGATTTGGAAAATTACCAATACATGAATCCACTCGGCTTATCAAAGAAAGAGTTTAGCGCCTTCGAAAAAGATTCAATGACTATCTTCGAAAAACAGCGAAGCGATTACTTCTCAAAGCATCAAAATTCTTCTTCAGATGAATACAACGAAGAAATGGAAGAAGAATATACAGGCGAAGAATACAGAGAAGAAAATTTCTCCGGGGAACAACCACCATTTGGAAGAGATGGAAATGATCCAGACATAATATACGACTAAAAAGAATTAAATTAATTTATTTCTTTTTTATCTTTTATCATTGAAATTTTTGTTATTTTTCTTGGTTTCACTGTTTTATCTTTCTTCATTGCATCTTCCCACGCATGTTTGTTAATACGTTCCATAGTACGT